CCACCCCCCGCCTGCCTCTCCCCTGCTTGTTCTCCCTCTCTCTTTCAAAAATAAATAACCCTAAAAAAACACACACACTAAATGTAAAAAGTTTAACCATATAAATTTAATACATTAAAACTTAAACATTTAAACATTGACTTCAAACTTAATTACCTATATCTTCTTATGAATTATTGATATAATTCTAAAATCAGTCTCTTTACTCACCTTCTCACCCTAAAAAGCAGAAAAACACACTACATATTATAATGATTGCAAAACTTATTTCTAGGTAAAATTCATTACTAGACATAACTTAGCTTGTCATCAGAGCCTTTGAAAGTATTCTTATTTACTGACAATAACGGAATATTCCAGACCCTTAGATTTCCTGCCCTCAAATGTGCAATGTTCTCCTCACCAGGGAGCCCTGAGCCCTACCTTGGTCTTTTGCCTGGAATGTACAGAAGATGGATTTGCAAAGTAGCCCCTGAGGGCCACAAAGGAAAAGCCAGAAATTCACAGTAACCTTTTGCCTGACATCCCTGAAATGCTAAACCAAAATCTCCGGTGTTTAAGACCCTGAGGTCCAGTAGGTCACACAAATGCAATTTCTCACCAATATAATTGTTATACAAATAGAGAAACCAAGAGAAAGCTATACACGTAAAATGGAAAAACTGACCTAAAGGGGTGATGGGGGTGGGAGGCAGAGAGAGTAAAGAGGGGAAAAGGGGTGGGGAGAGGGGAGATTTGGCCACCTCTGTAAAAACAAATGCACTTCGTAAGAATCTTAAGAAAATTTGCCCTTTTTCCTCATGTGTAAATGAGGGTTAGAACACTAAGGCCCATAGGATCTTTGTGAGAATTATGCCAGGCACAACATCAAGGACTCCGTAAACCTGAATTTACCATTATGGTTTTAAAATGGAATTCCAGAGGGGCGCCTGGGTGGCTCAGTCGGTTGAGTGTCCGACTTCAGCTCAGGCCATGATCTCATGGTTCGTGAGTTCGACCACGTCAGGCTCTGTGCTGACAGCTCGGAGCCTGGAGCCTGCTTCAGATTCTGAGTCTTCCTCTCTCTCTGCCCCTAACCTGCTCACATCCTGTCTCTGTCTCTCTCAAAAATAAATAAACATTTTTTAAAAACGAAAAAAATAAATAAAATGGAATTCCAGAATGGATTAGAGCTGGGGGGACTGGATGCCATAGGACACGCAGAAGCCCGTCCTCGCTCCCTCCGCCTCCCCTTTCTCTTTCACAACTATTTCTCTGCATGTCTGCTTCAATCCTGTAGCTTTCCTGTAATTCGGCTTCTTCCCTAAGTCACTAACAACATCGTTTAGTTTCCCACCTCTTTGGTTCAAGACAGCAGCCACTCTAAAGCTCTAATTTCAGTCCTAAGCCCAAATTTCCAGAGGGGTGCTGCCATGAAGACCAGAGACGAACATGTGGGTACATTTTCTGGATGTGCATGCTTGTGCATGTGTTCTGATAAAGACCTTCTCTTCTCGACCAAACTGTAGTCAGGCTCCTCTGGGCCCTCTTCTTGACTAGGCCTGGGCCTTCTGTGTCCATCCTCTCGTTGCTGGGCCTGCACAGCCCCATCTTAGCAAGAATCCCCCACCCTTGATATCCGCTCATGTTCTTCATTCCTCACCTTCAATGTATAAATCCTTGGCCGGGCTTTAGTAAGAGTCTTGTTTTGTCAGTTGAACAAGAATCCCCCTACAGTTGATGTCTCTTCTCATAATCTCCATCCACTTATCCTCTCCCTCTGCTCTTGGCTACATATCCCCACTTATCCTTGTTGCATTCAGAGTTGAGCATATTAAAAGGTAAACTGAGACATATTTAAAAATTTAAGAGTTTGAGTAAAATTGGATTAAAATTGGGCAGCATCCAATCTAGCAGATAGAAAGGAGCTCTATGGAGCAGCACGAAATGGAAGACAAAGACAGAAGGGAGTAGGAATGAGGTTATACCGGCAAAAAAAATGGACTGGTTATTACAACCAGTAAATACAAACCAGTATTTGTGTTGTCAGCACAAAGCTGGATGTGGGGCTTGAACCCACAACTGTCAGATCATGACCAGTGCCAAAGTCTAATGCTCAACCTCAACCAACTGAACTACCCAGGTGTCCCTGTCGTCTTGTTTTTAACTGCCTGATCTCTGCCCTATTGCAAAACTCCAACTGCAATAGTCCCAAATAAAATCTTCCTTACAGTTTTAACAAGCATCAGAGTAATTTCCTTAACAGTTCACACACACACACACACACACACACACACACACACACACACACGATGTGGATTGCCCTGCAATACAGTTTTCTAAATTATTTTTCATTTACTAACACACCCGAACACATTCAATGAAATACTTTTTTTTTTTTTTAATTTTTTTTAACGTTTTATTTATTTTTGAGACAGGGAGAGACAGAGCATGAACGGGGGAGGGTCAGAGAGAGCTCTGGAGACACAGAATCTGAAACAGGCTCCAGGCTCTGAGCTGTCAGCACAGAGCCCGACGCGGGACTTGAACTCACGGACCGCGAGATCGTGACCTGAGCCTAAGTCGGCCGCTTAACCGACTGAGCCACCCAGATGCCCCTCATGAAATACTTTCAACAGCATTGATTTATTAGTTACTTATCATTTCTAAGATGCCACAAGCAAAATGTGGCCTCAGGGTCAAGACAAAAGCCCTCTCTGCTAAGACCTCAGAAAGACTTAAGGGAGTGATTTCCAGATCCTCATGGCTAGACAAAAGGACGCCTGCAAGATTAAGGGTATTGTCACACAGAACTCTGACCTGTAGTCCGAAGTAGCAGACGTGTATCTGGAAAAGATTGGCAGAGATGGTTTCTATCTGACCTAGTGAATCCCTTAAGAATCACAGAGAACACAATGTTTTTAAGAGAACTGAACAAAAGCATCAGCAGCTTAAGCTACAAGACAAGAACTATTCAACCTAAAGCTACTGACTCCCAAATCATTATGGGCAGGACTCAGGATGAGCAAACTAGTTGGCTAGAAATCAGGCCTTATGGAAAAGAGAGGATGATCCAGAAGATGGTTCCTTGGCTGTGATTCTGTGAGTTGGAGACTGGGAGCTAAGAAAAGTTATCTGTCTCTTCTGATCTTAAGTACGATGTCAACAGGAGCAAGATAACTATAATAGACAATCCCTTTCAAACCATGGAGATGAGTATTTGGATATGTGAAATCTCAATAAGGTAATTTAGTTAATACCATCAAGTGCATCTGATAGGCCACGTAAGATAAGGACATTGGAGTCAGCCACACAGGTTACCAATGACCCGAAAAAGCAGTTTCAGGGAAAAGGTGTGTGTAAAGCCTTGTTGCAAAGGGTTCAATTCGAGTGAAAGGAAGAAACAATGGCAACAGTAGAAGCAGAGATTTTGGATATTCCTGAATTCCCACATAAAAAGAGGAATTAGCGCAACCAAAAACACACGGACAACATTTGCAACACGAAGCAGTGAACCCCAAAGTGCAAATGGGTCAGAAGACCTGAACAGTATCAGCTTCCATGTGGGAAGAAGCAGATGTGGGGAGGAAATGAAGCAAATGACAAATTCACAGAGACAGTAGAATCGTGCTGTCCAGCGGCTGGTGGGAAATTGCTGTTTCATGGGTGTAGAGCTTCACTTTGCAGGATGAGAAGAGTTCTGGAGATTTGCTGCACAACAGTATAGATGTCCTCAACACTACTGACTGTACACTTTGGAATGGTTAAGATGGTCAATTTTATATTATGTGATATGCACAATTTTAAAACTCAGGAAACTAACCTCACATTTAAAAAAGGAGTAGAGGGGCATCTGGGTGGCTCAGTCGGTTGAGAGTCCGACTTCGGCTCAGGTCATGATCTCAAGGTTCATGAGTTTGAGCCCCATGTCAGGCTCTGTACTGACAGCTCAGGGCCTGGAGCCTAGGCTTTGGGTTCTGTGTCTCCCTCTCTCTCCGCTCCTCCCCTGCTCACACTCTGTCTCTCAAAAATAAATAAAGATTAAAAAAAAAATTTTTTTTTTAAGACTAGAAGAGGGGCGCCTGGGTGGCGCAGTCGGTTAAGCGTCCGACTTCAGCCAGGTCGCGATCTCGCGGTCCGTGAGTTCGAGCCCCGCGTCAGGCTCTGGGCTGATGGCTCAGAGCCTGGAGCCTGTTTCCGATTCTGTGTCTCCCTCTCTCTCTGCCCCTCCCCCGTTCATGCTCTGTCTCTCTCTGTCCCAAAAATAAATAAAAAACGTTGAAAAAAAAATTAAAAAAAAAAAAACATACAA